CCAGCCCCTTGTTTTGTTTTTTAAAACAAGATTTTTCTGTATTGCCCTGGATGTCTTGGAACTCACTCTGCCTCCCAAATGCTGGGAGTAACAGCATTTGCCACCACTACTAAGCATAAAGGCTTTTTTTTTTAAAGAATGTAAATGCGGTGGTTTGACTATGCTTGACCCATAGGGAGTGGCACTATTATATGTGGCCTTGTTGCAGTTGATGTGGCCTTGTTGGAGAAAGCATATCACTGTCCTGATGGGCTTTGAGGTCCCTGAGTGCTCACACTCTGCTCAGTGTGGAAGAGCGCCTCCTCCTGGCTGCCTTTGGATCAAGATGTAGAACTCTTGGCTTCTTCAGCCTGTAGGATGCCATGCTTCCCACCATGATGATAATGGACTGAACCTCTGAAAATGTAAGCCAGCCCCAAATAAATGTTTGCCTTTGTAAGTATTGCCTTGGTCATGGTGTCTCTTCACAGCAGTAAAACCCTAACTGAGACAGTAATATACCCTGTCAGGCATGATGTTCCACTCCAGTAATCCCAGCACCCAGGCCAAGAGAAGTATTAGTTGGAGGTGAGCCTAGGCTACAGTGGGAGAGCTTGCTGCCCTCTCCAAAGCTCAACACAACTGGGCAAGCAAGATGAGTTACTAGGTAAAGGTGTTGCCACAAGCCTGAGGACATGTGACTTCCATTCCTGGAAACAAGGTGAAGGTGGAAGGAGGGAACTGAATCCATAAAGTTGTCTACTGACCTCCACAGGGGGCTATGGCATGTGATAACCACTCATTGTCACCATCACCACCGTCACCACCACCACCACCATCATCCATCTTTTTTAGATGAAAACAACAGGGAATGTGTCACAGAGACCTTTAGAGAAAGTGACAGTCTGCATTCTGTTCTGTAGTGCACTGTGGGGATGAAGGGTGAGGGTGCCCCTGGGGTAGAGGCTCCAGGGAGCAAATTGAGGAGGCCTTTATACACCCGTGAATGGGGAGCAGAGTGATGTCTTTTGTGGCGTACACATAAATAGAAGAAAACTAGATGAAGAAGCCTTCCCATCTTTCCCACAAGACTCGTTCAGCATCGGTTTTGAAAATACAGCGGTCAGTTTCTAAAAGCAGAAAACAAAATTCCAGCATGGATATTTATGTAAACAAATCCTCTATAAACAAGACCCCAAGAGAGTGTCAAAGCCGGGACTGGCTCAGCTCCCGCCCTAATGGGACTCAGAAGGCCGAGGACGTGTCCTGCCTATACTTGTATCTATAAATACTCAGGACATCTTCCTTCGTGTGTGTGCGTGTGTGTGTGTGTGTGTGTGTGTGTGTGTGTGTTTGTTTTGAGACAGGGTCTCACTATGTGGCCCAGGCAGGCCTGTAACTCACAGAGATTCATTGTTTGCCTCAGAGTTCTGGGGATAGAAGGGAGTTAGATCTTTATCTTCTTACCACACCTGGCTATAGCCTCTCCCCCTCTCTCCCTCCCCTCCCCC